CCTAAAGCTACCTGAAAGGAAATCACAGCAATAAAGAGCCAGAATCTCATCAGTGACAGAAAACACGTAAAGGGACAATGACAACTCCCACTTGGGAGGTTCAGGATGGCTCTTCCATTCTTCCCTCTCCATACAAAATTTCCTTTTTTCAACAGGCAGGTGTTGTAGACCAGCAGATCACCCAGCAAGGTGGTGGGACCTGCATCCAGTGAAATATAAGACCTATCTAGACAAACACCATCTGACATGACTGGGAAGAGTGTGTCCTTCCAGTTGGACTGGGTAAACTTCCTAAGGTTCCTTCAAAACAATGTGTAGGTGAGAAATATGCACAATATAGAATCACAAACTACTTCAGGTCCGGCAGATTGCTGTAGATTTATACTGAAGTGCATCTAAATATCCACCATCATTCATTGTCCCTGAAAGAAAATGCCTACTAAAGTTTAGGTGCCACAGTTAAAGAATTTTAAATTTTTACCTCCTTAGTACCTAATAATATTTCATATGCTACACACTTATATTATCAACCCTATTATTCGTAAATATCATGTTGCTATTTGTTTTTAAAAACATATAGAAAAATATTATTATCCTAACAATATCACACCCTGACTCTGAAATGGTGATTAAAAAGATAAAAACCATAAAGCTACCAACAGAGCACTTGGAACTAGCTCATTAAAAGCTTTAAGATGGATAAAAGAATAGATAAAATAATTTCTCCTACTTTCAATAGTATGAGAAAAAGCAAGTACTTAGCCTGTTGCACATTATTGGTTTTCTAATCAGAATGTGGAACCTCCATAATTATACAAAGGGTACAGTACGAGGCAGTGCTGTTAGCTCACATGCAAAGACCTGCTGTTCAATAGCCATCTGATCATTAGTAAGCTATGTCCTTTCTGGCAGATCTGGAAAGCTAAAATAGCTAGTTAAATCTTTGATGGCATCATTAGATTTTTTTCCAGAAATAATTTTTCAGTCTTTTTCCATCGACAGTGCAAAAGACAAGAAGAACAACACAGAGGCTCTTACAATTCATTTATAACTGCATCTTATCTTTGCAGTGGCCAACAGAGGGTGCCTGTGAAAAACTATCAATACACGTCACGCAAAGTCCTACTGCCCTTGTGCACACATCCTGATCTGTGATTTGGGATTGATTTGGGATTCAGAAGCTTCCAGAGCAAAAGGTGTTGGCTTTGTAAAGAGAAGGACATCCCCCCAAAAAACGTTAAAGACTTCTGCATGGAATATATTACAAAGAAGTCAGAAAGAAACAGAAACTTTATTATTCCTGAAATAAATCCAACATGTTAAATTAGGAAACTTACACAACTAATTATATCCTACCAGTATAAACACTATCAAAGAGCAGTATTTTTTTTGCTGAACATCTCATGCCATCTCATTTTCAGAATGTCAATTAAGAACAAAAATAATACAAAATCCGTATGACAGCTGAAGATGAAACCCAGAGTTAAATTTGCAACCAATATGGAATTCCCCTTTGATCATTCTATGGCAATAGCTATACATTTTTATCACACCAAACAACCCAAAATAATCTAAACAAACTGCAACAGCAGTAACAGAAAGAAATCCTATGACATCCCAAGAGAATGCTTTTGAAAAGCTACATTATTTCAGCATTTTAACATAAGCACATGTGTTAAATATGCACATGCTTCATGTGTAGGTGATGTAGTGTAGCATAAATATTTTACTAGCAAGAGTTTAAGTTACTGACTCATTATGCACAAATGGTAGAATGTTCTTTTCTGATTTTATAAGTGTTCATATTTTGGGGCTCCTGAATGATTAAGAATAGAAAACTACGGTATCAGAAAAGCAGATTTTCAAAAACTTGCAGGAAAAATATTACATTTTAATGGAGTTTCCATATAAAGAGCTACTGAGGTGCACAAAAAGGAGTCGAGAAACATGTAATTTATGTCTATGCTCCCCAGTACAACTTCACTGAAGTTAAAGGCCTTTGCTCAAGAGTAAATCCTCCCTCTAGTAGCAGAAGTTTGCAGAAGAGCTGTCTCTTCTAGCACTTGGCAAGTCTGTATTTACAAATAAACCAATCAATTGACTTCTGAATGTAGGTCACAACACTCATTCCTTAGGTAGTTGGCCTATTTTTCTCTTAGTTGAAAGGGCAAAAAATAAAAAGAGCAAACTCAGCTCCAAAGTGTTTTTCCCTATAGAAATGATAAATGACAATATCACTGCAGAAATGGTTTCTATTTGTAACTAATGTCAAATCCCTATTTCTTATTTAAAAACATGCAAACCTAAACAAACTTCTAGATCAAAGGCTTCAAACTGCAACTCTGTAGCCACCCTTGCATTACTTCAACCTGCATATCAGAGTGAGGTTTCAAAAGACCAATGATCTGCTCAAAAGGTCTCACCCCAGATAGCCCATTCCTGTAACAGAAATAGTACAGAGCTATAACAGGCTCCACTGCAGTCAAGAATAGCTTAGCAGTGGTAGAAGCAGATATCTCACGTACTTAGTAATGTCTTTGCAACTCTAAGCTACTTGTCTCAAGACTTTTTTTTGCAAAACATTGTAGTTATTTTGTTTTGTTTGGGTTTTTAATTCTGTGAGAAAGTCTGTTTTCCAAGGTGTAATTCTATTTCATCAGCTGGATGGAAAAAAAAAAGAGTCTGAAACACCAAAAATACTACCTAACTATCTGACTGTGATTAAATCAGAATTATATAAATATGTTAAAATAATTTATAGACAGACAATAAGGATGGCTGTCAAACTGAAATGCAATGGAACTTCAAATGCACCTTAAACAATGTAGCAGTGACAGATCCTTAAAGGTAATACTATTACTAGGTGCCTTTTTATTACAGTAATGTTTCAGGCTCTTTCACGTAGTTCTGCTCAGATAAAAGATGTAATGCTGGCATTTACAGCTGCCAAAATTGCCATTTGCAATTAAAAATTAAAACTGGCACTCTTTCTATGTAGGCAATTATCTAAACGCAGCTGGCAATCTTCCTTGTTTACAGTGCTGCTGTGTCATGACTCCACTCTGTTTGGAAATTTACTACCTTTTTTTTTTTTTTTTTTAGGTTTAAACTTGTCAATGGTATTTCCAACTTTTCTGGTTTTAAAGATTTTCATCATGGTCTCGAAGAGAAAGGTCCAAAAATGCAATTTACAGATTTTGTATGGCAACTTCAGGCACTGCAGTGAGCTGATTCCTAGTACATATTTTGGTCATTCTCGCAACATTAATTTACATCCATCTAGTCAACCTGTAAGAACCCAGACAGTAAAAGGTACCAAATAAATGCCCTCCAAGAAGAAAGTTTAGGGTGTAAGAGTTGATTTTCAGAGTAAAACAGAGAGAATGGGCAGATCCTCTAAGTGGACAAAAATCCTTTTACTGAATAATATATAACATTAAGTATATTTCTACTCCTTGTTATCTATAGTAATTGTGATCTACTAAATAAGTCTATCCATAAAGTATTTTATTAATCAGATTGCCATGTTTTTGGCAAAATATTTTTTCACTTATAAAAACTTGCATTAAAGTAGGATTTGGGAGTTCCCCTGCTGATGGGAAGGGAGCACTCTTTATGCTATCAAACAGCTTTTAGGAACAGTTGCTTTTTAAGCAAAGCTGCTGCAACCGCTGATTTCTGTAACTATCATGGAACAAATACAGTTACCTACAGCATATCAATTAAATCTTCTGATTCATTTATGATATATTTTCTGTAGTCAGACACAGCAATACTTTGTATTATATTCCCAGTACAGCAACGCCTAATTTCCTTCCTCTATAGTTGATCGCAACGTTTTCACCTAGCAGCATGATCCACTGCCATGACTCCTTGCCAGACTACTGCACGTTTTGCTCAGCCATCCAAAAAGATTTTAAGTCGAGTCTTTCCCCCGAATATTGTCAAAATCCATAGAAACAGGGGATTGCTAATGAACTGAGGAACACTGCTGACCCTAGAGATACTGCAAGCAGTGACAGCCACAGGTCCTCCCGCACAGCCCTCATAGGCAAGCTTGAAGTTAAAGCAGCCCAAGTTTCACACCGCGGTGACAGTACCGCTCTCCACTGAGCGATGTGTAGGAACATGTATTTCCGTCACGGGCTCTTTCAGAGTGAGGGAGACAAGAGTCGCCACTTGCTAAAACCAAAAGCGCAGCAGTGGCGGGCAGAGGGGGGAGGCCGCCAGCGCGGACCGGGTGGCCCCCGGCGCTGCCAGCGGCAGGTGGGCGCACCTGGGGCGCGGCACCCCCGCGGCGCCGCGCACCCAAGGCGGGCACACGCGTGGGAAGGTGCCGTCACCCGCACTCCCTGAGAGGCGCTCCGGGAAAACACGCTGGAGGCAGAACGGAGCTGTGCGGCTCCGCGGCGGTAACTTTTCAAACCGCGCAGCGCATGGCGTCCGTGAGGCAGAACGCACGCCGCGGGTACCGTCGGCGTACCCACTGGGCCCCGCCGTCGCGGGAACGACTCCGGCAGCTGCCGGCACGCCTCGCCCCGTCTAACCTCGAGGCCGGCTTGCGGCATCAGTGGGAGCGCCGCACAGCCCCCTCGTACAAGCCGACGGCCTCGGGCGCCCAGGAGACCAGCGAACATGTGCTCCCCGCCGTGCTCCCCTCCGGCTCTCTCTGCCGGCTGAACCGAGCCCCCCCATCACCTCCCACCTAGGGCTACGCGGATTTTCCCGCCGCCCGCGGAGCGCCGCGCCGCAGGTGGCAAAGGTTCCTCCGCCTCCGTTGACGCCTCCCGGTCACTTTTGGCACGACTCGCGGGGGACTTGCCCTCCCCGTGGACCGTCGCTGAGTGATGCCCGGGGAGCGTAGGGACAGGAGGGGAGGTGTGCGCCTGACGGTGCGGCGCGGCTCTGCTCGGGGCAGGTGCGGACGGCGGCCCGGGGGACAGACAAGAAGGGTCGGGACGGGACGGGACGGGAGGAGAAGCAAGCGTATCGGTACTCACACGAAGGCGTGATAGACGAAGGCCCATCCTCGGGGCCGCTCCAGCACGTTGTACAGGTAGTTCTGCAGCCGGCGGTACTTGGCGTTCCTGCGGCAGCTCGGCCCGCTGCTGTACGACAGCGGCTTCCCCAGCAGGCTCATGCGGGCACCGTGCTTCCCGCGGCGGCCCTCCCGCAGCCCGGCGGGGGCGGCCGTGCCGCCGGTGCCCAGGAGCAGCAGGCCGTCGCCGCGGGCCGCCGAGCTCGTCAGCGCCCTGCCCCGGCCCGACTCCACATCCTTCATACCCGCCGCCGCGCCGCTCTTCACCCAGAGCCCCGCGGAGCTGCCCTCCTCCCCGCCGCCGTGGTTGCGGGGCATAGCATCACCCCGGGCGCCGGGGCGGGCGCCGGGGCCGCGGCGGAGCAGGGCGCGGGCGGCGGTGGCCAAGCACCCTGCGGCGGCAGCCCGCAAGAGGCAGCGGGGGCCGAGGGTCTCCGGGCGGTGCCCGCGGGGCGCGGGGGCGCGGGCCACTTTGGGCGTCCGGCGCGGCGGGCCGGCCTGCGGCAGCTTCGCGGGGGCCCCGACGAGGGAGCGGGCGCCCCCCCGGGCGCGCTCTCCTCCCGGGCGGCGGCGCCCCGCCGCCGGCCCCCGCAGCGCCGCCCGGCGTGGTTCTGCGGCCCGGGACGGGGCGGAGGGAGGGAGGGCAGCTCCGCGCGGCTCCGGCGGAGAGGCCGCGGCTCGGTGGTGCCTCTCGCCGCCCGCTCCTTCGCTGCCTCCTGCGTCGTTTGGCTCGGCTGGGCCGGACAAGCTGTTGCTCTCGCTCCGAGCGGCGGAGAAAGTAGGCGAGGAAGGCGGGCTGGTGGGGGCAGACAGGGGCCGCGCCGCCGGGCGCCTCCGGGTCCTGGGGTTCAAGCGGCAGAGGCAGCGGCGGTGCCCGCGGCGGGGCGGGCGGCAGGCGGCTGGCGGGACGCGGCACCCGCGGACTACGCGCGCTCCCGGGAAATGTCCATGTAAGTCCGAGAAAGTAACAAAACTGCCGTAAGTCCCGGCGGAGGCGCGGGGGAGGATCGGCCGGCAGCGGGACCCCACTGCGGACGGGGAGCGCGGCCAGCCCGGGCGGGGCAGCGCAGACGAGCCGCCGGGTGTCCCCCCGAGGGGGCGGCGCGGCCCGGCACTTCGCTCCGGCGCTTCCGCCGTGTCCCTGCCTCGTGCCGCGGCGAGACAGCAAATCCCAGCGGCAGCGGCGCGGGCTGTCCTCCCTGCTGTCTTCCCCCCCGGCCCCCGTCAGCTCCGGTCCCGGCACGGTGCGGCCGGAGCGCGGCGGTGCTGCCGCTCCGTGCCCGCGCTGCGCCGAGACAGCGATGCTCCCCCTGCCGAGCGCGGCCCTTTTACGCCCCGCCGCATCAAGGTGAGCTTGCGGAAAAAACACCACCCACCCTGGCACCCGCAGGCGCGGCCGCCGCACCGCGCCTGCTTTGGCCCCAGTTATCGCCCAGGCTCGGGGGGCGACCCCCTGGACACCCCACTAGCGCTCCCCCCGCATCCCGCGGCCGCCTGCTGCGCGGCAGCCGTCGCCTGTACCGCTCCTGGGGCCAGGGCTCTGCAGCGCCCGCCGTCCCCCGGGGACGCCTGGGAGCCCCGCCCGGCACTTCAGCACCAACTTCATGAAAAATAGCTGCGTGCCACTGGTTTTGCAGCCTGAGCACCGCGATGTGAAAATGTGACGCTAATTCTTGAAGGGTTCATGAAAAGTAGTAATTGTAGATGCTAATGTTGAGCGAAATTCAATAGAAGCATTCAGAAATTGAGTTAAATTTCGTGGGGGTTTTTCGTGCTGACCACTTAGAGGCCAGGCTCTCAAGCTTTGATTAACAGGCCATCTTCAACTCCCAGAAAAGAAGCTACAAAGCATGTTCTGGCTGTGAACACTAACTTGTGCCCTGGCTGTGAACATTAACTTGTGCCCCTACTAATGCAACATGGACACACCAACAGTACTAATTTACTGCTATGTGTCCAAAGCCATTCAATCAGATGTCTTTAAATGAAGAGCTTAAACTTCTTCCTTCCTCCACCACACTTTTTCCTCCACTGCAGGCAACTTCAAACAGGAACCTTCTAACATGTGAACCACAGCAGCCACTCAAACTCATGATAAGGGATGGCAGAAACAGCACACATGTCAAAACAGATGTTAAGTAGTTGATACAACTATCCACAGAAACTCCATTAATATTTAAGCTTTCCAGTGGCACATATCTACTCTTCTTTCTTTGAATTGTAAATTGAGTTAGTTAATCCTTCATTCAGTACTTGTTTGCATTTCTGTGGTTTGATATATTCAGGTGTTTATACTCTTCATTTTTCTCATCCCTATGTATCCATGTACAGCTGAAGATGTACAGCAGCCTTTACCATCAGCCGCTCCTCCATGCTTAGATTTAAACTGACCTTAGTCACTCCAAATATTTGAGGGTTGGTACTCGAGTTCTGGAAAGCCAAACTGTGCAATTCAACTGAGAGCACATGGTCCAACCTGCTCAGCCAGGCCTCTGTCCTGCAAGCGCTCACCCTTGAACTTTGTTTAATTGCTGTGGGTGTGCAGTGGCACAGCTCACAGCAGCACTATTGATAGGATCGAGGCTTTAAACTGTGGACTGGGACAATAAATTGTGAAAATTACTGAGCTCCTGATGTTCCTTTTGTGATCCACTAAGAAATATTGTTATAATTCTATGCCCTCTAGTGGTACTTAAAATCATCAATTAATTTAAATAATTGTAAGGAAAACAGTCTGTGAGTACAACTATGTGAGCACAAATATGACAAATATTGAAATATAGCCATAGATGCTGGGACAGCTAGAAGCAAACAAAAGTAATACACTTAGTGATGAATTATTTTATTTTTTACAGTGTGTGAACAAGTGTATTCTCCCATCTGTTATCTGTTATTAAATAAATCCTTTTAGAAGTAAGTATTATGAGAAGAGATTGATGGTAATTATTCTAATCCCTACTTGTTCATATGTCAGATAACCAGGGCATGATACACTGGTTGAATGTGGAGTAGATCATTAGCACGCAGGCAGCTGCCTGCCCTGTAGCAGGCAGAGGAGCTGTACTGTGTAACAAAACTCGTCCTCATCTAAGTATTTATTGCAAAATATGGGTCTACATTTATAGGACAACAAATTCCCCTGATATTTTGGCTTCAGACTATATAATACCTACAGAGATGAGTCATGTGAAATTCTAGCATGCCACTATGGTCCAAGGTCACCCTGGGTTCAGGTGTCAGTAAGAGGATCTACTTGACGAAATCTCCAAGGCAAGAACCTCCCAAGGAATCTTGACTTCTTGAGGCTACAGGTACAGTATATAACACTTGCAAAGGGGCAAGTAACATGGCATGCTAAAGTGCAGCTTGGGAGTAGCTATTACTGTGCTTTAAGGCAAATGTCAACAGCATATTCCGAAATTTTAAGTAACTAGTGTTAAGATTCCATTGCATTTTCCAAATGTATACATCAAATGTTATATATCCTGACTTATGGAAGGATCAGCTGATACATACGGTCTTTGCTGATCAGGAACCAAATGTTACATATGTTTCGTATTTTCAAGGTTTTATTTCCAATGAGTTACTTGGGATATATTGCCTTAAATTAGAATTTCTGGGTTTATTTTAATAAAAGAAAGGAAGTAATTTAAACAACAGTGATAGTCTCTTATTCCCTTATTTATAATAAAATATTTTTTTTTGCTAAAGGATGTAAATTTCTAAGCCATCTACTACTGCAATTTTGGGGTTAGCCACACTAGAATTTAAAGCAGGCATTCACAAGGACTAAATTTGCAAATGAATAACAAGAACAATGTAATGCAATGGTGTAGTTGTGACACAGGGTAGATACTAATAGAAGAACCTTGTTTCAGGGAAAAAAAAAGAAAAAGAGAGGAAAAAAAGAAGCCCAGTTGGGTTGGAGGGCACTGGTCAGAGTTCAGCATGTCCAGTTCACTGCTTTGCTCTGTGCTGCCAGGCCAGATAGAATCTGGAGCCTATCCACATCAAGTCCAAAGTACCTGAGTGTGTAGTTGCCTCAAGTCACTGACAGATGCTTACTGAGCTGCTGAAAACTAGTTGTGTACCTATTTTAGTATTTACATGGATATGAAGAATCTCTCTTCAATTGTGTTCTACCGATACGTTCAGTTTTACGTATTTGTCATGGGGTGGTAGCAATGTGTTCATAGAGAGAGGGATTGTTAGCACAAATTCATAGAATAGTGTAAGATTCTCAAATGCAGCAAAAGAGAGAGCAGTAGAAATCACAGACATACAGTGGCTGTTATAAGCAGAAAAGCAGCCAGAGTGCAAGTTGGAGGGCCTTCGTAGCAACATTTTGCAAAGGTCAGTTTACTGTGGTATCATGTTTTGAGTTCACTTGTGTTCCTTGTTAATAACCTTTCTCGTGTTATATAATATTGTGAGGTATCATGTATACTCTAGTTTTGCATCTCTTTGTAAGATTTTTAGCTTTCTGCCTAATTATATGGAGAGGGGATGCTCATAGCTATTCTTGGTGACAAGCATACAAGAGCCAGGAGTAAGTTTTCAAATCACTCAGGTGTTAGGAACAATTCATTTAGTATGTTGACCTGCTGTATAACCTGGAATACCTGGTATGCACCTCCAGGAAACCCCAAACCAAGCATCTCTATTGTGTAATAAATCAGGAGCAAAATGTCAGATGAGGTGAGCAGCTTATTAGGATGCATATTGCAAGCTGTCCAGTCAGCACATGTAATGCGTTAGCAGCTGTATCAAGGCTTTGATATTAATATTCAAAAGTGTTGGAATACATTACATTAATATTCCAAGATGTTGGAATATTTTCCTGCAAGCTTTTTTCACATAAATGAAAAAAGCGTGACTGTCAATAGTATGAGGCATTCAAACAGTGAACATAGCAGAAAGGATGGCTCAACCTTCCTGTGCATTCTTCATGAAGTCCCTTAACCCTGAACTCAAGGGAGTACCTTCAAAAGTAATTTAGTTTTGATGTCCCTTTTATTTGTTAATCTTGATTTTAAACTGCTATGAGATTACTAACTGTGAGGAAGACCTGTCTCCACAAAGAGCTGTCCTGACACCAGACTTTCATTCCAAGCAGCCCCTGTCTCTGTGTTACTACCAGCACAGCATAAATTTTAATCCGAAGACAAGACAAAAATAGCACACTCGCATTACTTGTGCCTCCTTGGCCACAGGTATGCTAAAAACACTTCTGCCTGGTTATTACACCTATAAAAACCAAGACCGGTTCACAAATTGTTAGTTGGATCCTTTCATCTGCCAGGAGCTGTTTGCTCCTTTCCAGCTAGAGGAACAGTTTGGCCTTCTCTCCTCGCCTGGTCAAGATCAGCGGCAGAAATTCCTGGCCTTACTTCTGTGCTGTCTGGCTGTCCTGGCAAATGTTTATTTTGCTCCCTGACATCTAGTATTTCCTCTCGCTCATCAGATATTAATCCCTGATAAGAGAATTAATTTATTCCATTGATTCCTACTTAACTAAATACCTAAACATCCCTCTCCATTAATAAGGCATGCCTGTCTCTAAAGTCATTACCAGACCTCAAGACATGCTCTCCTAAATGGCTCTTTTGTTCATGTCCTTTACTTTCTCTTTAATTTTTGGTTGTTTTGGGTTTTTGTTTTGTTTTGTTTCTTTGTTTGTTTGTTTACTATTTTGTGGTGCTTCTCTTCCTTCCCTCCTTCCTCCCTAAGCCTCCTCCCTCTGTGATTCAACTACCTGGACTCCCAAACAAGCAATCTGGTGACAAAACAAGACTGTATATCTTGAATGGTGCAAAACCTGCCGCAGGTGCAGGGACTGCTCCATAGACCATTCTCACTCTCTAATCTAGCAAAGCAAGTAATTTGATTATTAAAAAACCTAAAAAAGACAAAGCCAAAGACATGAATCTATACTGAGAACTGCCAAACAGTTTACCATCCTGAGCTGGGAATATAATAGAAATAGAATAGGATATGAAATGTTTTTTTCCAGATAGAAAGGTTTATTTTCTTAGAATATATGGATTTTCAAAATCACACTCCCCAAAATACCCAGAAGTTCTGAAGAAAACATGCCAATCAAAAATGTAAATGTTTATTGCAGTCTTTTGTAACTGAACACAGTTTCTAAATATAAAAAGAGAATCTTGGAATCCTTGGGATATTGTCTTCCAAATTGTTTGTTTTC